TCGCACAAGGTACAGCCCAGGATACCCGACGCTCCCAAGTTAATAATTAACTTCACCATCAAGATAACAACTACACGCAGCAGCGCACACACACCATTTGACACTCAGCAAACACAGCAGACTCTCCGTCCATTCTCAACACACGCACACACTTATATTGACACCAAGCAACAAGCAGATAGCGCGTTCATCGTTATTACATACACAGTCCGAACCGCGCTCCGCACAATAGAGTCATAAGAGAAAACCAAAATAGCCCCCCGGACCTCGAAAGATGAGTGAGGTGTGTGTTAAGGCCGGGTGCGTATCGTTATGACTCGCCCGGGGCTGCAGCAAGAAGAGGACGGCAGGGTGGCAACTTGAGACGCCTCGCAGAACTCGTTCGGCGACTTGACGGCTCCGTTGTCACGCACCCGAGCCAGGACGGGAAGCTCCCGCCCCAGCAGCTGCAGCATCGGCGTCTTCTCCTCGCAGCACCCCCTCGAAAAACAGCAGCTCACAGCAGGCTGCTCACCCCGCGGCACCTCCAGATGGCAGCGCAAGGCTGCCTCTCCGCCGCGATGTTGAAGATGGCGGCGTCCTCCCGCCGCGGTGAAGACAAGATGGCGGCTTCCCGCCGTTTCTCCCCTGCCACGCCCAAGATGGCGTCTTCGTGCCACGTGGCAATGGCGCTGGCAGCGCAGGAAAGGCAGAGGCCTGCGGATCACCACCGGGCCTCCCCGACGTCGTCCTCGGCGTGGTGAACTCACACAGTCGCGCCAGCACGATTTTCAAGGTCCCCATCTGCATCACCATCTGTCTCCATCGTAAGTTGGCATCCTCCGGCACAGACAGGTCCACCGACGCGGCGACACCTTGCTCACCCGGACCCGTACTCGTTCCAGAACGGATCTCCTCTTCCATCGCAGGCAGGTCCACTGTCTGAGGAAGGTCGTCGTCGTCGGATGATGTAGCAGGAATATTTTTTTTTCTTCTTTCTCTCAGTTGTTTTGAGATGCCGTTTCACTTCTGACTCCAGTGTAATAAAAGGACTCAGACGCTTCTCTCTGACTCCGTGTCCTTTATTTGGGGTTCGCGTTCTCCTTCCCACACGGCACTCCTCCTGAGACTCTCTCCCTGGCAGCCCCACATCTGCCTTCGCTCCCGTAGCCTTCCACGCTCCTGCAGCTCCGCTGCAGGCTCTTGGTGCAGCCCTCTGGCTGCTCTCACAGCAGCTCCATCTCTGCTCCCTGTTCCTCCGTGCGTGGCGATCTCGCCACCTCCCAATGTCAGCCCTTCGTGGCCTCTATGGCTATCTCGCCATTTCCTACCTCAGCCCTTCGTGGCCTCTGTGGCTATCTCGCCACTTCCTACCTCAGCCCTTCGTGGCCTCTGTGGCTATCTCGCCACTCTCTCTTCCACCCCGCTGGCTGGCGCCGTCATGAGCCCCTCAGCCACCAGGCTGAGGCACGGCGACCACCCAACGTGTTCACCACCCTTCACTCCCCCGACTGACCCAGATAGCTTCCTGTCTCCCCGCTATAACTTCTCCCCCACGTCACCCTGACTCCTCCCTCTCGGATCGTCATATCCGCCCCGCCCATTTACGCCCGCATTACAGATGTATAAGGGGCACGGGGTGACCAATAAGGTCTGAATTGGTCTGTGATAAGGTAGGGCACTGATAAGGGGTGACAGGATTGTAGTAGTGTATAGTGTAGTGTATTATATATTAGTGTAGTGTATAGTGTAGTGTATAGTGTAGTGTATATAGTAGTGTGTAGTGTAGTGTATATAGTAGTGTATAGTGTAGTGTATATATTAGTGTGTAGTGTAGTGTATAGTGTAGTGTATATAGTAGTGTATAGTGTAGTGTATAGTAGTGTATAGTAGTGTATAGTGTAGTGTATAGTAGTGTAGTGTAGTAGTGTATAGTGTAGTGTATAGTGTAATGTATAGTAGTGTATAGAGTAGTGTATAGTGTAGTGTATAGTGTAGTATATAGTGTAGTGTATAGTAGTGTATAGTAGTGTATAGTGTAGTGTATAGTGTAGTATATAGTAGTGTATAGTGTAGTGTATAGTGGTGTATAGTAGTGTATAGTGTAGTGTATAGTAGTGTATAGTGTAGTGTATAGTAGTGTATAGTGTAGTGTATAGTAGTGTATAGTGCAGTGTATAGTAGTGTATAGTGTAGTGTATAGTGTAGTGTATAGGATGAACGTTGAGACTTATAAGGGGCACGGGGTAATCAATAAGGTCTGAATTGGCCTGTAGCACCCTCGGTTATTTTAAAATTGTGTGCGTAGTTCAAGTTCATGTATTAGGTATAGCCCTGTGAGCCATTCGGCTCTTTAATCGGGTGCAACTGCAACAAACAAAAAACAAAAACATGAACAAAAAAACATCTTAAAGTGACTTTGTGCAAACAGAAAATCCAAGAAAAGACATTGCAGAAAAAGCACCGTACACCAACACTGTGTGCAAAAATCCCAGTGGGATACAAGTCAAACAACAACAACAACCACAAGACAACTTAAATTAAAGCAATCAGTCTAAATCTGTATTGCAACAAACAAACATGGCCAAACCAAAAAACTCTTCGAAAATCACCAAAAAGTTCATATCGTGCCTCGCCAAACGCTACCGTTTCGGTCTTTATGGGCTAATTATTTTCGCCGAACGCGTTTTAAAATTAAAGGGGGCATTTATTTGGAACGCATCTACATCGTTCAACGAGGACTTGCTGCGCTGCAGTAATAATGTTGGGGAGTTCCCACAAACGCACTCGGAGACGCAGGTAAGTTGAGAGGCTTTCGCCAAAGGTTAATTAAGGATATAACAATAACACACACCAGGGTATACAACTTCATAGGGATTTAAAGCTTTCGTGACTGCAGGGATTCATCTTCTTGGTTCTTTCGGTAAAGTCACGTGGAAGGGCAGTAATAAAATAATAAAAATAAAACATTAAAAAATAATTCTTACTTCCCTTCTACGTGACTTTACCGAAAGAACCAAGATGAAATATCAAAACTAGTTAATTATATCAGTATAGAAGTTTTCCCGTAGGGGTCACTAAAAACTAACGCAAGCGATTATCTCATCCCTTAACTTGTTGAATCATAAATATCGTCGAGATGGCGGCGACTTGGGAAAGCCTTCATCCAGCAGTAGATCGACCTTGGCTGTTTCACATTAAGTTAGTTCATCATAATCATCATCATTTATTCAACAACTTAAGTGCGTTCTAAGAAACGTGTTACCAGTGAGCAAATCGCCGCGGTCCCTTGGTATGTTGATGGGGGGGGCTTCAAGAGACCGCGGTGAACTCGCCAAGGCCTCCCGCGTTCTCGACACTTCACGTAGTCGTCGTTGTTGTCGTAGTCGTCGTTGTTGTTGTTGTTGTTGTTTTGGGGGGCTTACGTTGACACGTGAAGACTCGTCTCCCTGTTGAGTTCATTTTGTTTTCTCTGACGGTCCCATGGAGGCGGGGCAGCGGGGAGCTGCTCGAGATGCCGCGAGCCCGAGCCCCCCACTCCTCTAATCCGCGAGCCCGAGCCCCCCCCCCCACTCCTCTAATCCGCGAGCCCGAGCCCCCCCCCCCCACTCCTCTAATCCGCGAGCCCGAGCCCCCCCCCCACTCCTCTAATCCGTGAGCTCGAGCCCCCCCCCACTCCTCTAATCCGCGAGCCCGAGCCCCCCCCCCCCCCCACTCCTCTAATCCGCGAGCCCCCCCCCCACTCCTCTAATCCGCGAGCCCGAGCCCCCCCCCACTCCTCTAATCCGCGAGCCCGAGCCCCCCCCCCCCACTCCTCTAATCCGCGAGCTCGAGCCCTCCCCCCACTCCTCTAATCCGCGAGCCCGAGCCCCCCCCCACTCCTCTAATCCGCGAGCCCGAGCCCCCCCCCACTCCTCTAATCCGCGAGCCCGAGCCCCCCCCCCACTCCTCTAATCCGCGAGCTCGAGCCCTCCCCCCACTCCTCTAATCTGCGAGCCCGAGCCCCCCCCCCCTCCTCTAATCCGTGAGCTCGAGCCCCCCCCCCCCACTCCTCTAATCCGCGAGCCCGAGCCCCCCCCCCACTCCTCTAATCCGCGAGCTCGAGCCCCCCCCCACTCCTCTAATCCGCGAGCCCGAGCCCCCCCCCCACTCCTCTAATCCGCGAGCTCGAGCCCCCCCCCCCACTCCTCTAATCCGTGAGCCCCCCCCCACTCCTCTAATCCGCGAGCTCGAGCCCCCCCCCACTCCTCTAATCCGCGAGCCCCCCCCCCCCCCCCCATTCCTGTAATCTGCGATTCTATGAACCTCGATCCTATTTGTAATCCTTAATCCCATTAACAGCGATCCCATTAACCGCGATCCCATTAACAGCAACCCCACTCCCCTAATCCTTGATCCCATTAACCGCGATCCCATTAACAGCGACCGCACTCCCCTAATCCGCGATCCCATTAACAGCAATCCCACTCCCCTAATCCACGATCCCATTAACCGCGATCCCATTAACAGCGACCCCACTCCCCTAATCCACGATCCCATTAACCGCGATCCCATTAACAGCAGCCCCACTCCCCTAATCCACGATCCCATTAACCGCGATCCCATTAACAGCAATCCCACTCCCCTAATCCACGATCCCATTAACCGCGATCCCATTAACAGCGACCCCACTCCCCTAATCCACGATCCCATTAACCGCGATCCCATTAACAGCAGCCCCACTCCCCTAATCCACGATCCCATTAACCGCGATCCCATTAACAGCGACCCCACTCCCCTAATCCACCATCCCATTAACCGCGATCCCATTAACAGCGACCCCACTCCCCTAATCCACGATCCCATTAACCGTGATTCCATTAACAGCAACCCCACTCCCCTAATCTGCGATCCCATTAACCGTGATCCCATTAACCGTGATCCCATTAACAGCCCCACTCCCCTAATCCGCGATCCAATTAACCGCGATCCCATTAACAGCAGCCCCACTCCCCTAATCCGCGATCCCATTAACCGCGATCCCATTAACCGCGATCCCATTAACAGCGACCCCACTCCCCTAATCCACGATCCCATTAACCGTGATTCCATTAACAGCAACCCCACTCCCCTAATCTGCGATCCCATTAACCGTGATCCCATTAACCGTGATCCCATTAACAGCCCCACTCCCCTAATCCGCGATCCAATTAACCGCGATCCCATTAACAGCAGCCCCACTCCCCTAATCCGCGATCCCATTAACCGCGATCCCATTAACCGCGATCCCATTAACAGCAACCCCACTCCCCTAATCCGCGATCCCATTAACCGCGATCCCTTTGAAGAGAACTAAATTCGTATTGTGGCCACGCGCATCCACGATGTCCACATCTCCTCTCTTCCCACGTTGAGTCCATCGTGACACTGGACTCCATCATCATCAGCAGGACGAACCGTGACCCCCCCCTCACCAGCATTCCACGCATCTCGATTCCCTGCCACTCAGTCTCGATCCCGTTATCTGCACACCCATCATCTTCGCCGATTGGTGACCCCCCCCCCGTGTATCCGCTCTCCGTGTCCGCACTCACCGCTTCTGCCCATGGAGCCTCTGTCTGTGCAGCAGGAGATGCAGGAGAAGGCCGAGGCACCTGCTACCGTGGAATTCGAGTCCCGGGGCTCTGCAGTGGTGGCTTCAGGCCCTTTGCCGTGCGATTTCGCGGTGGCGCGGGCCGAGCTGATGGCATGCGGCGAGTGCCGCAAGGAGTTTGCGAACAAGCGCTCGCTGCGTGCCCACGCCAAGCGAATGCACGCGACCCAGCGGCCCTACCCGTGCCAGGTGTGCGGCAAGGGCTTCATGAAGCCCTCCACGCTCAGGGTACGTCTGCACGCACTTCACTGCGCACTCGTTCACACACACAGTACCCTTTGAACTGGTGCGAAAAAATTCCTTGTATGAAGGTGTCAGTTTTTGTAGCAGTTGAAAGGGTAAAAAGCTACTACTATATTTTGCCACTGGTAAAGGAGTAAAGTACGCTGTTTTTGAGTTTTATTATTATTATTTTATTATTTCCGTTCTACGTGACTTTACCGAAAGAACCAAGAAGATGAATCCCTGCAGTCACGAAAGCTTTAAATCGAAATGTCTTTGAGTTGTACGCCTTTTGGCGTCATCTGGTCCAACACCAATGGAGACTAGGCTCTAAGAAAAGCTGTCTCGGGTGTGGACCAATCAAATTCAAGGACAGTGCATATCATTATCATCATCAGAGTTGTTTCTTTTTGTTTGCATTTTGACTGCTTGTGTTGTGGTTATTGCGAACATGCCTTGTATAAAGGTGTCAGTTTTTGTACCAGTTTAAAGGGTAAAAACCTACTACTATATTTTGCCACTGGTAAGGAGATGTCTCATAGTGTACACACAGAGTGATTGCCACCAATGAACCACAGTGCCTTGACGATGTCGGCGAAGGAGCAGAAACCATCATCGCGCAAAAACTCGCAGCGGCTTCTGGCTGGCCATCGAACAAAGACGGTCAACGCGTTGCGCGCTTTCGGATGCGGTTCTGCGTCCGTCTGGAACGCTCTTCCCAATATTGGGAAGCCGCTGGAGCAATGCACTTGTTTAAATCATCGTCTAGATTGAAAACTAATTCAATTAGAACAGCTTTTATTGAATTTTGATTTAAAGCTTTCGTGACTGCAGGGATTCATATTCTTGGTTCTTTCGGTAAAGTCACGTAGAAGGGAAATAATAAAATAATAAAAATATTAAAATTCTCACGACGTTTCAACTGCAACACAAGCAATCATCAGGTGATTTTATTGAGTTTGTTGTCCTTTCCCCGCACCTCCGATTACCACGGTCGCTACGTACGGTGCGAATGAAGTTCGTCACGCATGTACACATTGGTGGAGACGAGTACACTGCAGTAATTTTTACGAAACGTCATCTCGTCACCCCGGTTTGTGACCCCTTCCTCTCGTCCCGCCCAGGAGCACGAGCAGACGCACTCGGGCGTGCGCCCCTTCGCCTGCGAGCTCTGCGGCCTCCGCTTCCTGCTCAAGCACCACCTCGGGGCGCACGCGGCCACGCACGCGGCCGCCCGCCCGCACGTCTGCGCCGCCTGCGGCCTGGCCTTCGCGCTGGCCGCCGGCCTGCGCAAGCACCGGCGCGTGCACACGGGCGAGCGCCCGCACGCCTGCGAGCTGTGCGACCGGCGCTTCGCCCTCGCCGGCACCCTGCGCGCGCACCGGCGGACGCACGCCGACGGCGCCGCCCCCGCCTCCGTTTCGCCGGAAAAACTCCACATGTGCGAGGAGTGCGGCAAGTTGTTCGCCGACGCGGGGCGCCTGCGGCAGCACCGGCGCGTGCACACCGGGGAGAAGCCGTTCGAGTGCGCCGAGTGCGGGCGCCGGTTTTCCCGACAGGCCTACCTCCGCAGGCACCGGCCTACGCACGCCGTCGCCGCCCCCCCCCCCACGCCGCCGGCGCCGCCGCCGCCGTGCGGGGCCTGCGCCGCTTTGCCCGACCCGCGCCCTCCCTGCCGGCACGGCCGCGCGAGGGAGCGCCGGCACGCCTGCGAGCGGTGCGGAGAGCGCTTCTTCCTGCCGCACCACCTGCGGGCGCACCGGCGCGTGCACACCGGGGAGAAGCCGCACGAGTGCGAACGCTGCGGCCGCCGCTTCTCCGGCCGCCACCACCTGGACGCTCACCGGCGCACACACACTGGCGAGCGGCCTCACATCTGCACCGAGTGCGGTCGGGCGTTCGCGCAGCCCGCCGGTCTCGCCAAGCACCGGCGCGCGCACGCCGGGGAGAAGCCGTTCGAGTGCGCCGAGTGCCGGCGCCGGTTCGCCAGCCGGCACCACCTGGCGGAGCACGCGCTCACGCACGCCGGCGGGAAGCCGTTCGCGTGCGCCGACTGCGGGAACGTGTACGCACAGAGCAGCGGCCTCCGCAAACACCGGCGCCAGCACTTGGCCGGCGGCGTCGGCACGCGGCCGTTTCTGTGCGACGAGTGCGGCTTGGCGTTCGGCAGGCGCGCCGCCCTCCTGCGCCACCAGGAGGGACACCGCCACGGAGACGCGGGGAAGGCGCCGGCGGGCACGGTGGCGCTGGAGGCCGTGGGAGATGTTCTCGACGGCGGTCCCGGCGATACGCGGCCGTGAATCGGCGGACGTCGGGGTCGTGGGGAGAGTCGGGTTCTGGTGGGGTTGGGGAATTTTGCAGAGATTGGGTTGTGTGGTGTTGGACTCTGAAGCTGCGTGGCTGTGTAGTAGCCCTTCGACGGCAAGTACCACGATGGGCTCACTGCTGTCATGGATCAAAACTTCGATGAAAAGCTTTCGTGACTACAGGGATTCATATTCTTGGTTCTTTCGGTAAAGTCATGTAGAAGGAAAATAATAAAATAATACAAATATAAAAACAATAAAAATTCTCACGACATTTCGACTGAAACACAAGCAATCGTCATCAGCTGTGAAATACACAGCCACTTTTTTCAAAATTTCTTGCTGTGGATTTCACACCTGATGATGATTGCTTGTGTTGCAGTCGAAACGTGAGAATTTTTATTTTTTTAATATTTATTTTATTTTATTATTTCCCTTCTACGTGACTTTACCGAAAGAACCAATCAAAACTTGTTTTCCATATTCTTAGGCTTTTTCGGTAAAGTCACGTAGGTAAAACATTTTAATTCATAAAAATAAAATAAAAATCACGACGTTTCGGAGGCAACACAAGCTTCCGTCTTCAGGTGGAAGTCACCTACGTGACTTTACCGAAAAAACTTAAGAATATTAATCCTTGCAGTCACGAAAGCTTCAAATCTAGAATTGTTTTCCATACCCATCATTAACACTGCCTTGTATCATGAATGTGGGTGGAGGAGGAGTCTGTGCCACAGTCGTTAGCGCATTGCTTTGTAAACACGGCGATCTGCATTAGATTCCCGGACACGGCTAACATCAAAGTACTGGGCAAACTCCTGCTTGTTCATACTGCAGCTGCTAGAGTTCTTACACCACATACACCATTCCATGAGCACATTGCACCAGCCCTCCTATATCCATTGGCTACAAGTCAAAATCCGAGTGGATTTAAAGGTATTGCTATTAACCGACAAGGCTTTAAAAGGGCTCACCACACATCACTTGCAGGAACTATTACATTTATATATTCCATCAAGGTCCTTAATCTCTTCTGATCTCCAGCTGATCAGTGTTCCCATGTCTACAGGTTGAGCTCTTTGGGCGATCGGTGCTTTTGTTAGCGTGGCAGCAAGCCACGGAACGCCTCGCCGCTTGAAATCAGGGCTATCAGAGTCGGTAGATATATTTCAGTCTGCTTGAAAACCGCATCTCTTTCAAGTGGCCCTTCCCTCTTTAGTGTGGTCGGTTGCCCAGGATCTCTTTTTTTTTCCTGCCTTTCATGTATTGCACATTGAGATCCTAGGATGGAATGCCCATGAAACATTTTAATTCTTATTATCAGTGGCAAGCGATATCTGTACCGGTCCTGGCCGCCCCTTCATAACCCGCAATCGACTAGCGTGGTGAAATATATATTTTAAAATTGTATTCTCACCAATGCATTCAAAGATGTTTTTCATTAGTTTTGAGTGTTCTAGCCACGGGCACGTTCCCTCCCTTGGGCTGCCCTTTCCATGGTGCGTCTCGACCACCGGACATCGTCGGAGCCAGTGCGCAGCAGCGGGATGCTGGCCAGGCCATGAGAGATGACGCAGCTTTGGGGACCACTTAATCCGACGGTGGATAAGATCATGGCTGATGATGGTGATAAACACATTCCTCCTGCGGAGGGAGCTGGTAGGAACGTTGGGTTGCTCGGTCAGTGGCCAGGGTCAAAGGCGGCATGGTGTATTTCCGCAAATATGGCCGACTGTGAGGGCGGGCACAAGCCGGCGTGAGGAGGTTAAACGTTGAGTTTTATAAGGGCACCACGGGGTGACCAGCCCCTCTCCACCCAGCCCCACCCCTCCCACCCCCCCACCCAGCCCCACCCTCCCCACCCAGCCCCACCCTCCCTACCCAGCCCCTCCCTGCACGACGGACGGACACAATAATCCCCTGTGGGCTGGTGGAACCAGTGGGTTCCTACCAGTATGAATCCCCTTTGTAATAAAGATCAGTGTTGTTGTGTACATTAACACGCTGTGGTGGTAATGTGCCGGCATAAGGTGGTACGCCATGCCGACGTCCCTCACAACACCAAACACCTACGAATCATCTCAACCCATGGCACCGCCTGGGCTCTGTCCCTTGACCTGCCAGCAAGCCTTCGGCACTACACGTGGCCTCAGTGCACCTAACCTGGCACAAACGCCGCGGTGACGTCACAGCCACTGGGTGGCGATGGTGGCTCTTGAGTGAGTGTGTGTGTGTCTCTGTGTGAGTCTATGGGTCTCTATGTGAGTCTATGGGTCTCTGTGAGTCTATGGGTATTTGTGTGAGTATGGGTCTGAGTCAATGGGTTTGCGTGAGTATGGGTCTCTGTGTGAGTCTATTGGTATCTGTGTGTGAGTCTATGGGTCTCTATGTGAGTCTATGGGTCTGTGTGTGAGGCTATGGGTCTCTATGTGAGTCTATGGGTCTCTGTGTGAGTCTATGGGTCTGTGTGAGTCTATTGGTCTCTGTGTGAGTCTATGGGTCTCTGTGTGAGGCTATGGGTTTCCGTGTGAGTCTGGGTATTTGTGTGAGTATGGGTCTGAGTCAATGGGTTTGCGTGAGTATGGGTCTCTGTGTGAGTCTATTGGTATCTGTGTGTGAGTCTATGGGTCTCTATGTGAGTCTATGGGTCTGTGTGTGAGGCTATGGGTCTCTATGTGAGTCTATGGGTCTCTGTGTGAGTCTATGGGTCTGTGTGAGTCTATTGGTCTCTGTGTGAGTCTATGGGTCTCTGTGTGAGGCTATGGGTTTCCGTGTGAGTCTGGGTATTTGTGTGAGTATGGGTCTCTGAGTCAATGGGTTTGCGTGAGTATGGGTCTCTGTGTGTGAGTCTGTGAGTCTCTGGGTCTCTGTGTGAGTCTATGGGTCTCTGTGAGTATTTGTGGGTCTCTATGTGAGCCTATGGGTCTCTGTGTGAGGCTATGGGTCTCCACGTGAGTCTATGGGTCTCTGTGTGAGTCTGTTTCTGTGCGAGTCTGGGTCTATGTGAGTCTATGGGTCTTGTGTGAGTCTGGGTCTGTGCGAGTCTGGGTCTATGTGAGTCTATGGGTCTCTGTGTGAGGCTATTGGTCTCTGTGTGAGTCTGGGTCTGTGCGAGTCTGGGTCTATGTGAGTCTATGGGTCTCTGTGTGTGTCTATTCGTCTCTGTGGCCACCCGGTTTAATCACACAGCCGGGGTCAGCGGTGTCTCACCCGCCCTGCCATGGAAGAGTAACGCTCATCGCAGGTTTCGCGCCCGTTTCGAATCGATTTCCACGGGCGAAGCAGATAACAATCCTCACTCCCACACTCGTCGTCTGATGTGCTCGTTAAGGGAAGTGGTTTAATGATCGGTGCCGAGGCGTGGTCACCGAGATCAATGTTGCTCTGCTCGGGGCTGCCCCGCGTGTGGGTACAAGCGCAGCCCTGCAATGTCTCACACCACTGCTGACAAAAGGGCCTTCCTTTCCAGGGAGCTCGTCCCCCTCTCTTGAAGGTTTTTTGGCCGTTTCTTCCACGCTGACGTCCCGGAAGAGGTGTGAGTACCCACAATTCACCCCTCCACACGTGACCTGCCAATCTTAGAGTGTGGTGAACCCACCTGGGTGGACAGAGGCAGTGGACGGGTTTGAGAAACGTGCTCCAGACGGCACGTCGTGTGATAATCTCTGCGGGTGTTACACCCCGCAGTAATAACCAGGGCGGCCGCTGTAATCGAACCGTGCCCCGCTGCGTCCCGCTGCGCTCGTTTGTAAATATCGGGCAGTTCACCAGCATTGATTCAAGTAAGCCAGAGTTTGCTGATGAGACATTGAATATCGAAACCGGCCCAGATTGTTGCTTGCGTTGGACCAATTCTGCAAAATGTGTGCACTCCCATTCGGCCGCGTGGCTGATGAGATGTGTAATCCATGCTGTCAGGCACTTCTCATTAGTTGAGTGATTTGGCATCGGAATGTTTTACATCAGCCTGACATTTACATTTCGATAAGGCGACGGCGCAGTGCAAACACTGGTTGTTCAATTGCTCTGAGTTGCCACGTGTCTGGATGACCAATTGCAATTAGCTCAGGGTAAACGATCTTTCTATTCGTTTCGATTTCAACAGACAACTTCCCCGCGCCGTGTCAATCACGGCGGTTTGTTTTACCATACTTCACCACGCTGGTCAGTGGAGGTTGATGGAAGGTGGTGGGGGGGTGAGGGTTCAGTATCTGCTCGAGTGCGACGCGCCACTGACGTGAGCCGTGGCCGGGAATCGAACTCGGGTCGCCAGGTTCAGAGTGCGGTGCGCTAACCGCTGCGCCACCGCTCCCCGCACCCACAAGCAAAGCAAGTATGGCGCACCATCTGTTCACATCATGCTCTTCGGTTTTTTCGGTTAAGTCACGTAGGTAAAAATAAATAATAAAATAGAAATAATAGAAATAAAAATTAGAAATCACGACGTTTCGGAGGCAACACAAGTCTCCGTCATCAGGTGGGACCGTCACAGCTAAAATTACTGTAACCAGGTTACACTGAGACTTCGTCGTGATTTATAATTTGTATTTCTATTATTTCTATTATTTTAAATCTCGCTGTGACGGTCGCACCTGATGACGGAGACTTGTGTTGCCTCCGAAACGTCGTGATTTAAAAAAAATATTTCTACACTATGGGGACCTCATTTGCCAGTAAAAATATGATAATTGGTTCTTTACCCTTCTATCTGGCAACAAAACTGACACCTTTTTGCAAGGAGTCATGTTTGCATAGACCGCAATACCTGCAGTCATAAATACAAACAAAAGACATAACTCTGATAATGTGCACTGTCCTTGAAGTTGATTGGTCCACACCCGAGACAGCTTTCCTTCGAGCCTAGTTCCATATGGGACTAGGCTCGAAGGAAAGCTGTCTCGGGTGTGGACCAATCAACTTCAAGGACAGTGCACATTATCAGAGTTATGTCTTTTGTTTGTATTTATGACTGCAGGTATTGCGGTCTATGCAAACATGACTCCTTGCAAAAAGGTGTCAGTTTTGTTGCCAGATAGAAGGGTAAAGAACCAATTATCAAAAATATTTCTATTATTATTTATATTATTTTTTATTTTTACCTACGTGACTTTACCGAAAAATCCTAAGAGTATGAATCCTTGCAGTCACGAAAGCTTTAAATCTAGCATGTTCGCATCATCTTTGCACAGCCTCAACTATTCTCGCATGATTGTATCGCTGTGCAATCGTCGTCCTCGCCAGCCATGGTCAATCCACCACTGGATGAAGGCCTCCGCAAGCCACCGCCACCTCTCACGACCTGAGCCAAATGTTAAATAGCCCAAAGAAATGTTGCTGGTCTCTGGGGTGAGCCTCCTGAATAATGGAACGGAATTTATTTTAAAAAAAAAGACGCGTGCTGGATTAATCGAGCCCCGCAAGGTGTTCCACTTTGCCACCCAAATACAAACCTCACACAGACTCGCATGAAGAGTCATAGATTCACGTGGAGACCGATACGTAGAGAGACCCATTGACGAGGCTCACACCCATAGCAAGGCGTCGGCAAAGTACCCTTTTTAAATCCTTTATATTAAGTTCACTGGCTTGCTTGCTTGCGCGCTTACGACCGTGCAAATCTTTCGGTCGTTTTTTAACCCACTTCCCGTGATCCAATCGAGCTGACATTTTGCACACAGACTCGTTGTGCGTGACAATTTATTTTCGTGAAAAAATTTCCAAAATTTTCTACTTTATAGGAAATTTTTTTTCATATTTAATTTAAAATACCAATGTGATAAAAATGAAACTCTTACTCAAGAAAAACAGAAATGAATAATAAAATAAAACCGATGCCACGCATATAAAGGATTTATAGTGAAAACTTTGTTTTTAACGGGTTAATTTTTTACCGGGTAAAAGGGGTAAAGGTAAAGGTGTCGACATGCCAAGCGGTAAGGGTAAAGGGTAGGGTAAAAGGTAGGCTCGTTGCTTTTTACCTGTTACCTTACCTGCTAAAGGGTAAAAGGTAGGGTAGAGTGATTGTATTGTGGTAAGGTAAAAGGTAGGGTAAAGGTAGGCTCGTTTTTTACACTTTTACCTTACCTTGCCGAGACCTACCCATAGCCTCACATGGAGTGGTGTTGCATGGTTTACGCGGGGCCTGGTACCTCCTGCCATAGGAATGTGGAATTTCCACCACTGGCTCTGGACTGTAAAGCAATACATGAGCAGGACATCGTTTTGACTTCCATTCATATGTCCTAACGAGTGGTTGTAATGGAACCCGTTTGGCTTTGCTGCTGTGCAGAGCGGGGGGGGGGGGGGCTTTGTGGAGGTCTAAGCCCTTTGGGCTCTCCGCTCGCCAATTTCGTTTACCAAATGTCTGAGAAACCTCAGTGAGTGATGTATTTGAGGCCAGTGCCCCGTTCCGAATTGGGGATAACGCCTCTAAGGGAGACAGTGAGCGAGTGGGCACCGATCTGGACAAACACCACAACGCTCCTGTACTCGCTCACGGCGATGGTGGGGTGGGTGGGGGGAGACAGAATTGGAATTGCAAATTAAAATCGACTTGAAAACAGAGAGAGAGAAATTAACACGCGTCCCGGTTCGCAGATGTGAAATCCCTCTTTCCTCCTGAAATGTTAACGCCGTTCCCATTGAATGAGATCTGGCACTGGGCCAGGTTATTTGCCACGAAGAACGGCCGATGCCTGCAACGTCGCCTATTGTATATATTATACGTTTCACTTGGTAAAGGCACGCTGATGTCATTGACGAATATGGCGTTGTTTTAGTTGTGGTTGCACACCCCCTCTTTCAAAGGTCTGGTCAGCATGGAAGAGTAGGCCAAATACCCTCTCGAGTGGCTTTCTAGAGCTCCCTCTAATTAAGCTCGCACTTGCAGGGTTTGCGCCTGTACCCTTTTAATCCACTGCTGGATGAGGGCCTCCTCACGCCGTTCGGGTCGTGGGGGAATGTTTCATCATACTTCACCATCCCTGGCTGATGCGGGT